GCCGCGCGGCGGCCGCCGGCGTGGCCTGCAGCTCGGCATCGGCGGCAAGCTGTTCCTGGCCTTCGGCGGGGTCGCGGCCCTGACCCTGGCCTCCGCCGCCGTGGCCTGGCTGTCCTACGCCAACGTCGAAAAGGCGGTGTTGCAGGCCTTGAAGACCGACGTGCCGGCGATGACCACGGCGCTGGCGCTGTCGAGCGAGTCCGCCGCCCTGGCGGCGGCCGCCCCGGCGCTGGCCGGCGCGCGCGACGAGGCGACCCGCCAGGCGGTATCCCTGCGCCTGTCGGCGCAGCTCGACGAGCTGCGCGGCAAGGTCGCGGGCCTGCGGGTCGACCGGGGCGACGGCGAAACCCAGGCTGTCGACGCCGTCGGCCGCCAGTTGGACCGGCTCGATGGCGAGTTGACCGCGCTCGACGAGACGGTGGCCGGCGCCCTCGAGCTGACGGCGCGCCGCACCCAGCAGGTGGCGGCCGTCGAGGCCGCCTACAACGAGGTGTCCGAGCGCGTCGGCATGCTGATCGACGACTCCAGCTTCCTGCTGGTTCAACGCGCCGACGAGGTGACCGCCAACACCGGCACCTCGATCTCCACCCTGATGAACCGCGAGGTCGCCGCCCTGCGCGGCGCGCTGGAGGTGCTGGCCGAGGTCAATCTGGTCGGCGGCCTGGTCGCCGAGGCCGCCAACGCCTCGAACCCCGACCGGCTGGTGCCGCTGCGCGAGCGGCTGCAGATCTCGATCGGGCGGATCGACGACAGCCTCGCCTCGATGCCCGCCGACATGGCCGGCGTCGAGGAGGCCAAGCTGCTCGCCCTGCTGCTGGCGGAGTTCGGCCAGGCCGAGCAGAACGTCTTCGATCTGCGCCGCGACTGGCTCGCCCTGTCCGGCTGGGAGCTGAACGAGAAGCAGGTGATCGCCGCCCGGCTGGAGGCGATCACGGCCGACATGCTGTCGGTCCAGAAGGAGATGCTGCACACCCTGGCGCCGCTGGTCGACGAGGCCAACTTCAACGTGGTGCTCGGCAGCGAGCAGGCCACCGGCGACGCCAGCCAGGCGGTCGGCAAGCTGATGAGCGAGGGGGTGGGCGAGCTGCGCAGCCTGCTCGCGCTGCGCGCCGAGCTGTCCGACCTGACCAACGCCATGGTGCAGGGCGCGGTGGCGCCGCACCTGGACTTTCTCGACGCGCAGGAGGCGCGCTACGCGGAGATCGGCGCCGGCATCGAGCGCCGTCTGGCCGATCTGCCGGCCGATCTCGACGACGGCACGCTCGAACGCAGGGTCGCGGCCCTGGCCGCGCTGGGAAGCGGCCAGGCGGGGCTGTTCGCGGTTCGCCGCGCCGAGCTGCTGGCCGCGGCCAAGGCGGAGTCGGCGCTGGAGGCGGCGCGCGGCGCCGCCACGGCGCTGGACCGCCAGGTGGCGGCCTTCGTCGAGGCCGCGCAGGCGGACCTGACGGCCAGCGGCCGGAGCGTGGCGGCCGCGATCACGCGCGGCCAGGGCCTTCTGCTGGCCATTGCCGCGGCCTCCATCGTGATCGCGGCCCTGATCGCCTGGCTCTACGTCGGCCGCGGGCTGCTGCGCCGTCTGCGCCTGCTGGGCGCCGACATGGGCCGGATCGCCGCCGGCGACCTGGCGAGCGAGGTCAGCGTGAGCGGCCGCGACGAGCTGAGCGAGATGGGCGAGGCCCTGTCGAGCCTGCGCCGGGACCTGGCCGCGGCGGAGGAGGAGCGGGCACGCAACGAGGCCGAGCGCGAGGCCGCCGCCCGGCAGCGCCGGCAGGAGATGCTCGACCTCGCCACCAGCTTCGAGATGAGCGTGGCCCAGGTGGTCGAGTCCCTCTCCACCGCGTCCGGCGGCTTGCAGTCGACCGCCGAGGGCATGTCCTCGGCCGCGCAGACCGCCGGCGCGCGGGCCCAGGCCGTCGCCGGTGCCAGCGCGCAGACCGCCGGTTCGGTCAATGCCGCGGCCTCGGCGGCCGAGCAGCTCTCGGCCTCGATCAGCGAGATCGGTCGTCAGGTCAGCCAGTCGACCGGCATCGCCGGCCAGGCCCGCGAGCGGGTGGAGTCCACCAACGCCCAGGTCGAGGGGCTGGCCCAGGCGGCCGAGCGCATCGGCGCCGTGGTCACCCTGATTTCGGAGATCGCCGAGCAGACCAACCT